GTATCATACCAACTTGAAATCCTAATACGATAATATGAACTTCTTTCCATGGCACAGCTATCAGTTTACACTTTGACTACTTCTGTTCACTATCTTTTTTTTTTTCAGATATAGCATATCTGTCACCCAAGAGCCCACGACAGGTACATGACAACACTCTTGACAACGGTGACTTACTGAAGTGGTGATTTACATGGGAACAGAAGGGTGGGGAGGGGGTCTTAGCAATACACCCTCCCCTACAGCACACTGTAGTGAAATCTGGGCCAGGAATGAGAGCGAGTTGGGGGATTTGGGGTTGAAGGGGAGTCACTGCATAGTTTGAAAAATTTCCCAAGATGATTTGGATAAGCCCCAGCATCTCCTGGAAAAACTCTGAAATGTAATGCAATGTACTTTTTCATCTAATTGTTTTTGTTACAGTGATTCATTGTTCACTGTCAGAACATCATAATTTATGGACCCTCTCTGCATTGTTGGCACTTGAATATTGGTGAATGTTTGCATTAAAAACATCAGCGATGGAGATCCCCATAACACACGACTCCTGAATTGAACACTTTCTCGCTGTGAATTAACTACTCCCTGACCACACACCTCAGTGCTGTGGCTGAGGGGCTCCGGGCTCCAGCACACAGCCACACTGGGGTGACAGGACTCTGAAGAGGGCAAGCTGATCTCAAGAGAATCCCCTGCACTTCCAGAGGTTCTAGGATGATCAAACATCCCAAGAGAACCAAATCATATTTTGTTGTATTCCTTAGCTGGCAGCATCTCCTGGAATGGAAACACAACCAATTCTGTATTCTCCTCATGGGAGGCCACAAACCTCTTCAAGAGGCAACTGACTTCATAGGGCTGTGTGACAACTCCCTTCACTCACCCTGCCCAGAGCTGTGTTCCTTTTACTCAGTGACCTCTGTCAGCTGGGTCGCCTGGTTCTTCAGCGTGCGGTTTTGCTTTATCATTCATTTAAATGGAGTAGCAACAACTATTTAATTGGAATAATAACAAACACTACAATGATCTCACTATCCTGTTGGGAGGATGAATTAAGTGAATAATTAAAGCCTTGATAAGCGAACATGCAAGTAGTTAAGGGCAAGTGCACTGCAATGCCAAGCAATTATGGGACAGTCTTGAGATAAGACTCAGCAGGTGCAAGGCTCCTGCCCACTGCTAGCCCCTCTGGAATCCCCGGAACCTGCTGGAAGTGATGGAGCGGCTTTCTGAGTGACTGCCCAGGAGAGAACACAGGGCTTTCTCTTCTGCTGTTTTTAGACCCAGGATAGACCAGAAAACAGCTGGCAAAGAACTAGTACACACATCTGGTTACTAAATCAATGGCAATAGTTACACTCTCCAAGGACATGAGCTTTGGCTCACGACACTCATGAACGCATGCACAAGGACAAAAGTGCAGGGACAATCACTGCAATCTAAATTTAATATAAATAAATGGAAACAGCCGCATGCAGAGTAGGAGGCTGCAAAGCTGACTAAAGGCGGTGTGAAGAACCAGAGTACTGTTATTGTTGTTGCTAGTATTAATTATTGAGGTACTGGGGCTGGAGCCCAGGACTTTCACATGGAGTTAAATACTAGTCTCCTTTTCAAATTCGGAATCAAGATCTCGATAAGTTGCCCACTCTGGGCTTAAATTCATAATCCTTATGCCCCAGGCCCCCAGTGCCAGGAGCACAGATGTGGCCCATCATGCTGTGCCGAGAAACAGACAGGAGCAGAGTAGGATGGGGGTGGGCATCAGTGCTTGGGAGGAACAGCTTTTCCTTTTTACTTTGCGTATTCACACAGTTTGACATGTTTAGAGACACAATGTGATTCTTTGTGAAGAAACATTTTGTTTATGTCGAAATGTTTTCCCTAAATAAAACAAACTTTTCTATCTCCTGATACGTGATTAATAATTAATGTGTAACTTCTCCAAGAGCGTGTGGTTTTTCTTTTTTTTTTTTTTTTAAAGTTTTTTCCATTTTCAATGAGTGAAACATTCAAGTTGTATCTTTTGAGGAAACTGATGTTTTTCCGTTAGGAGTTCTGTGCACTTTTTCATACTGATGATTTGTTCCTGCACAAAAAATAAAAAAAAAAAGGAAAAGGAAAAGAAAAGAAAAAAGAAGGAAAGAAAAGAGAAGGCCGGCCAAATTGCTCAGCAGATTAAAGTGCCTACAAGCAGGCCTGGGGTCAGGGGTTCAATCCCCAGGCCTGCTGTGCTGGTCCCACTCCCAGGGTGCACTGAGATGGCAATTGAGACTGGACATGGTGGCGTGCGCCTGTAGTCCCAGCTCTTGGGAGGCTGAACACAGGCAGATCACTAGGAGTCCGATCTAGTAGTGAGATCTAGTAGTGAGACCCTGAACACCCTGTAGACCTTTCCCTAAAATACAGAAAAAAAAAAAAAAAAGAAAGAAAAGAAAAGAAAAGCAAGATTCCTGATAGGAAAAGGAAAAGAATTGAAATTGTGGATTGTGGTCAACACTTTTTTTGCTGAGTAAGAAAGAGCAATTCTCTACAATCACCATCAGGACATACAAAAAGATACTTTAAAAAGAAATGGTAAACATATTATCCTCACCCTTTTGGATTTCACAGAGCAGACTGGATTACAGAAGGACTAGCCAGGTATGGTGGTGCACACCTGTAATCCCAGTACTTGGATGGGGTTGAGGGGGCTGATACAGAAGGATCCCCTCAAGTTCAAGGCTAGTCTGGGCTACATGGTGAGACTTGCTCTCAAAATATCCCAAATAAACAAAAAACATTTTTCTAATTTATTATAGAAAACAAAAGAAAAGAAACCTTTTACCATCATGATAATTTTCGTTGTCCAAAAATTAACATGATCTCAGAATATGGGACCATTTTTCATGTTGATAAAGGTTTATGAAAACAAACTCTGGTGAAAAAGCTATCACCTTAGCTTATTTTTTAAAAAATTATATTTGGCTTCTAGGCCAGGAAATGAGATTTATTGTGAAATTTTTATCAAATTCAGGATGCCTGGAGAATGCCAGGACTTAGGGAGGGGCTCTCAGCTCAAGGGTGTTTGTGTATCACATAAATGAAGTCAGGGGACAGCGGTGCCAACAGCATTCGACGTACGCTAGGTGGCAGCACTTAGTGGTGCGCCTTCGGTGATAACTGGCTCTGCAGACCACCGAATCACTGAAATGCCCCTCAGCCACACAGAGCCAGAGAACGAGTCAGGGGTCCCGGGATCACTTTCAGCTGTCTCTGTGCGTGGAATCAGAATTCTGATCTCTGAACTGTTAAGATAATTCTCTTCATGAACGTTTGTTTATGCTTCATCTCTATTCTCATGAGGCAGGAAACTGCATAGAAGTCAATTATTTCCAAGTCTTGAGAAAACAGTATTATAACACAAAATGTAACAGCGCACACTTGCCGTGTTTCAAATAATGGGAATCCTGAGAGCCTATTAAGAAAAGGCTTACATATTAAAATATATCATGTTTTTTAGCTTAAATTGATTTTAGAGGGTTTGAAGAAGCAAGGAAGGTGATTCTATCTTCAAAAAAACAGCTCAACACAGTATCTATGGTAACTCGGTCCCTACATGAAGACAGTGGCACATGCTGTCCACATGCTATCTTGATAGATGTCCCAGCCTGTTATCTTTATCGCTGATCATCAGAAACATCAAAATAGAACCCCAAACAAAAGGCAGGGGTCGCTGCTGGGTGTGCTCCTGCATTCATACCTGACAGCGAAGTGCAAGATGGCTGGTCCTGGCTTCTTGGGCAGGTCATGGTCCAGAACCCGGAGATCTAACTGCAGCCAGTTCTGCTGACCTCTGCGAGAGCAAAGCAGAGGAGAAGGATTCAGAGAAGAGCTCGCTACCACACGGGGCTGGCACATCTCGGGGAGCAGCTACTGTCGGACACCAAGAGGGCGTTCCGCCCGCTGCATGTCACAGGCACTCCTGCCTGTAGGCCAGCATTTCCACTTTCAGGGGTTTATCGAGATAGCGAGCACATTTCAGAAGTGATCCACACACAGACTCACTTGCACGGCACTGGAGCATTTGCTAAAGGTCTCACGGTCACCTAAATGTCCTGTACGATTTTGTTAAGGTAATTACCTAAAACTCTACAGTGAGCTAAAATATAGTCTAAGTAGGCCACAGAGTAATAGGTCTAGGCTTACGAGGTCCAATTTTTGAAACACACTATGGAATGTAAAAGCACAGGATGCATAACAATAAGCACAATCCTTTGCCATTACTGTGAATTAATTAGAAGAATAATATATAGGTGCACCCAGCTATATAAATTCTCTGGGAGGATAAGAGACTGGTAATGCTGGTTACTTTGGGGAGGTCAAAAACTGGGCAACACTGATTATTAATCTTTAAATTCTTATGAAATATGAAATAGTGCAGTCAAAAAGGAGAAAACTTCTGGTTTCATGAGGTCAAACAAACACAGCTTCCAATATCATAGCCTTTGAGAATGTGCAGGGACGAACGTTCTCTGCTGTTTCTGGGTGCACCAAATGGGCTTACCGACATGTAAGCAGCTGTCTATGTACTCAGGAGCACCATCAAGTTCACCAGTATATACAACTTTCTCTAGATTTTGGCCTCCAAGGGATCAAAAGGACTAAGGACAATGTGGACTGTTTACACATCCTTTCCAAGGTCGTTCAACTAGAGACCACTTTATTTGCTTACATAAAAATCCAACTCACATACACGCTGATGCGGCTCATGCAGACAAGGTGTAGTGCCAATTTGCAGCCAAATCTACACTGGGCCCGGAGAAATTTTTCAACCTATTTTGGTTCTTGAGTAAATAACTACAAAAATAAAACTAAGCTGGGTGTGGTGGGCTGTAATCTCAAGCACTCTGGGAGACTGAGGCAGGAGGAGGCAAGTTTAAACCTAGTCAGAGCAATTTAGTGATTTGGTGAGACCCTGTCTTTAAAAGAAAAAGTTGTTGGGATGTACCATTGTACAAAGGTCCTAGTTGAGTTCCCTGCACTGGGGGGGGGGGAGGGAGGGAGAGATAAGAAAAGCAGGTCTAGTCCTCTTTGTTGAGCAACTGCTCTTTGTTCACCATCTTAGAACTTTTTGGCTGAATGGTAACATTTGTATAGTAACTCTTCAAGGATAGTGGCAGAGGCTGGGTTTGAACCTGCAACTTCTGAAACAAGAGAAAACAAAACTAGAGTGTTAACTAGCATGTATAATGACCTTAGAGCAGTCTCTGTCACTTTCAAGTTTTTCCACTGGGAAAAATGGATCTTTGGTTCCATAATTACAAGGGAAGGCTGCTTATAATAAGCTTTAGGTTCACTGGGAGGATCATTATAAAGAGAAATAAGTGGATATACATAGTGTAAGAACATCTTAGAACTACTGCTTTTGTGCATGAGAGTGGGGGGGAAGGTCAAAGGATTGAAGTTAAGAAATTCTTACACTATATTTCAAGTTTAGGAGGCCACTGATATTTATTTACTTTTTTATTTATTTGTACAAGTCCTCACTACATAGTTTAAGATGGCCTTGAACTCACTATGTAACCCTGGCTGGCATCAGACTCATGGTGATCCTCCTGCCTCAGCTTCCCGAATGCTGGGATTACAGGGGTGCTTGACCACAGCATCCCAACTTGAGATGTTCAAATGTGTGTTTTAAGACATGTGGAATAGCGTATAGTCTAGTAACTGGTCTCAACAGTTTCCTTATGATGAACGGAACTAACTTGGAATGCCCTTTATTCTTTTATTACAGAAAAAATGTGGCATCACTTAAAAGGCACAATATATGTGAAGCTGCAGAGATAAGAATGAAAGAAGCAAGTTCCTAATGACGTGTACAGCACAAACCAATTAGGCCAGCCACAGAGGCGCAGCTCAAAGGCTCTTAAACATGCATGACAAGTTTTTGGTGTAGTTCTGCTGCAACTTAAAGCTAGTTATGAAGCTGAGTTATCTCTCATGAATAGGCGACAGCTGGAGTGCGAAGGAAACAAAAGGGACTATGTCAGCTATGACAGTCAACGTTTCTCTAAAAAGATGCTCTGGGTAATACAAAGTAATTTTTGAAATTATATGCTAGAAATTAGATTTTTAGAGCCTATAATCTCACTATCAAGAAAACATCTTGAAGACTAAGAAGAATATTCCCCACAATTCTCCCACTATGCTATTACTGGGGTTACTGAGTGCTTATAACCTGCTCCTTTCAGGCGATCCCATTAGAAAATTATACGAGACCTAATCAGCTTGAGCAGACAGGCACACCTTTCTGGCCTTCACAGGCTATACCAACCAACCGAAGAAACCTGTTTTTTTTTGGCGTGGGGATTGAATTTCATCAGCGCGAGGCTATGAAGGGACGGTGATCAGAATCCCAGCTGTGCAGTAGCCTCTTCTTTATTTCCTCATAAGCAAAGCTTACTCAGTAAAATCTTTCAAAACGCAGAACCCTCCGTACTTGCCCCTCAAACGGGTAAGAAAAACTACCATGATGGGGAACCGAAGGGGCCGTCACCACAGAAGAGCGAGACTGCCCTCTAGGGGAGGAAGGTGCGCCCTGCACCCAGGTCCCCGGAAGGTCCTGAGGATGGTGTCCTGTTATCTGGGAAATCATCCCGCCCCCTGGCTCCCCTTGGATTTGTTTCCGCTGGCTGTCTTTACTACTCTTGTTATGTAACTGCATCTATTTTTTTCATTTCTGCCGTTGGGGGGGGGGGGCGGGGGGCAGACACACTAGCTAGTTTCATTGACCAAATGTTCCGTTCAGCTCCGGCTTAACTATTTAAAGTTCACCAAAGGCACAGGGCTGATGTGGCGTCTGGACTGGAAGAGGCCACCCCAAAGACAGCACCCTGGGAGGGATCCCACTCGGTGGCGTCATGCGGGCGAGGAGGGGAGTGCTGAAAAATGCTTTCCAAATATATTTACCAGACAGAGAAGAAGAAAAAAACTAGCCTTGTGACTGAGACATTCCAAGGAGACACCCTTAGACTGAGCAGGTTTCCAGGCCTGTTCCCCAGCAAGGTGGAAATGGCAAATTTTTCCTTCCCTCCCAAAAGCCCAATTCATACTTTTGAAAATCAACATAGCCAGAGTCAGAAATAGATGGCAGTGCTGTCACGTGCCAGGGCGTGCTGCTTGGGGAGGAGCGCTGGGCCAGGGCTCTGGGGAAGTCTGGTCCTTGCCTGTGGGAGCCCAGGCAGATGAGGGGTGTGGGGTGGCGGGGGTGAGGGGGTCGGAGGGGGGAGCTTGGCCACTCCTCTGTGGTGCATTGTTGGAGAGGAACCCCCAGGCAAAGAGGAGGAGGGAGGAAGTGCAGGCGCTCAAGGAATCATTCCTGTCATTCTTTTTTTTTCCAAAGAAGGCTGGATGTCTGACTTTTTTTTTTTTTTTTTTTTTTTTTTTTTTTTTTTTGGTCTTTTACTTTTTGCAGTACCAGGGATCAAACTCAGGACCTTGTGCTTGCCAGGCAGGTGTGTAAGCCGCTGAGCTATATCCGTAGCCCCTAGATGCCTGACTTATGCACTGCCTGACTGTTGTTCATCTCAGCCTGGAGCTCTTCCAGAAGCCTTCGGGTCCAGAAAGTCCCACAGCCTTTTGCTCCTCTGTGTGGCATCCTTCCAGCCTGGGGCACCTCTGCCGTCTCAGTGAGTCCCAGGGTCACCTGTGATCTTGTCCTCCGCTCACCTCCTGTGCCATGACGAGGCTGGTGTCTTCATATTGAACAAATGCACTGTGCTCATTACTGTGTTCGCGCCTCTGCCTTCAAATGACTCTTTCTGGAAGACCACGTCCTCTCTCCTCTAAAGTTTCCCTGCTAGGCCCCACTCTAATGACCTTCCTAGGAGAAGGCCACCCTGTCCTCCTGCACCCCCTGCACATTCTCTTACTGTCCTGACAGCTAACAACAGGAAGTGGGTGCCCTTTCATTGTGTGGCTGCGCTATGGTGCCACAAACCTGACTTGATTGACAGGTCCTATACAATCCCAGTATCGTATTCTAGATGCCCTATGTGGTATTCGCTATACAGCTACTGTTAGAGTCCATGGTGCAGATGAGAAAGCCTGAGTGTCAGGAATGCCAAAGAGCTGCCCTAAAATCACATGGCTACAATATTCACGATGTTTGTCCCTTGCGTCCTTCTCTGCCCTCACCTTCTTTTAGCCCCATTAGTAATGGGGTCAGGGTCTCACTAAGTCACTCAGCTGCTCAAACTTGCGACATTTTTGCCTCAGCTCCTTTGGATTACACGTAGACCATGTGAGTAGTCGCTCATTCTTGGGCAGTGGCTGGTGATGGCTATAGGCCTGATCATGAGAGGAACATGGCCTGTCCTTCGCTATTCCTGATGTGGCCTCTCACTTTGCATTCTTCAGTTATAGTTGTGGCATTCTCTCACTTGTCTATGTCTGCCTGCTAGGGTAGACCACATCTCTACAACAGAAACTCTGTGGATGCAGAGACCTCGTCTGTGTCACTCAGCTGAATTGCTAGACGCAGAGCAACATCTGGCCTTCGGTGGGCACTCAGGAAATATTTGTTGAACAAATAAATGACTCCAGTATCCACGTTTTTAATCTTAACTCTACGTGACCTTCTCCTAAATTATAGTGCGTATAGCAATTACAGTTTATACCATATCACTTAACCATTATGTATTTATGGTTTTATGTCTTGTACTGTTTGCTATTCTTTCATTCATTTCCAGGTTGTGTGTGTGTGTGTGTGTGTGTGTGTGTGTGAGTGTGTGTGTGTGTGTTGCGCTCTTGTGTAATCACAGACTCAGAGGAACTGGTTTTGGCTTTCGCTGTGGCGGAATGGCTGCAGTTCTCATTTCAGCCAGCAGAGGGGAGATGACCAAAGCTGCTTCCGTGCCTCACAGGAGGCCTGCGATGCCCGCTTGCTTCTGCTTTGCTTCACCATTCTCTGGAAACACTAAGAACTACAACCTAAGATTTCAGCGTTTTCTACATCTCCTAACAGTTGTCTGCACCTCACCCAGCTGGAGCCCAGAGGCTGCTGGCATTTCCTAGCGGTCCTAGGCAGGCGGCCCACCCAAAGCTGGAAACTGCAAGAAACCACCTGGTGCAGAAAACAAGTGCACTCTTTCTTGAAATTATTTTCCACCTGGTTGAACTGAAGAAATGAAAAAAACACTTAAACAGAGAGCTATGGAAAGAATGCTGGGGTGGCTGGACAACAGATTTTGTGTCTGGAACATATTTTCTTAAATGTTAATATTTAAAGAACTCTTTTGACATTATGGCCAGAAAGGGGAAGGATTTTTCTGATGATATATCCAGTCACATAAAATGTAGACAAATTAGGCTGCCATGAAATAGACAGACATACACATGACAAAGAAAAGGGCTAATAACTCCAAACACACTCACTCACAGAGTTTTATATTTTTAGGAATTTGTTCTTACATACTGTATCAGTATCGTTTCAAAGACAATTTAAATTGTTGAGAAATATATATAGATACACAACATACATATGCGCGAGCGCACACACACACACACACACACACACACAATTTCTAACAACTTATGGTATCAAATGGAAAAACAAAAAGAAATTGAATGCAAAAGGAGAACTTAAAAAAGACCTAAGCTTCTGTCAGGAAGTTCATCCCTATTCAACTATACACATATTTTTAGATGGGCCACACATGTGCTTTTAATTTTTCTTGTCACCAACACCATAACATTAATTTAGTTTCAAGATGAGTGAAGAAAAATTTAGTGTTTCTAGCATTTAGCATACCTGAGCTAAATTTGCAAGCCCATAAAGCTCTACAACATTTAGAATGATATTTTGAGTTTTTCAAATGGCTCATGTTCCTCCTCTTCTCCGTTTGCATTTTTTTTTTTTTTTTGGAGGGGGGAAAAGTCCTTTATTAAGAAATCTTTAACTGAGCAGGACATCCTCAAGTCCTCCACGTGTTTTTGTCAATTATGAATGACAGCCAGTAGATAGTCCCAGCAAAAGGCAAATAAATGAAAGCTGTTAAAACACTTACGTGTCATCTATAAACGTTATTCCAAAATACTCCTTTTCTTTCAGGTTGAAATGTGAAGCCACAAGGTCCAGCAATTCCCTTGACAAAAGTTTGGGCTGTTAAATTAAAAAAAAAAACAAAAACAAAAAACAAAAAACACCTGATTAGAAGAATCAGAATCAATTTGGTTACTTCTTTTCTTGTTGTTTTATCTTTTTGAGACAGGGCTTCACTTTGTAGTTCAGGCTGGGTTTGAACTCACTTTGCAATCCAGGTTGGCCTTGAACTTGCAGCAATCTTCCTGTCTCAGCCTCCCAAATTCTGAGATTATAGGTATGTGCCGCCATGATTGGCCTACAATAGCTCTTTCTTTTACTGCTGCTGGCAATTTCTTTGTCCATGCAGGGTTTATTTTATTGTATTTTATTTGATTTTTTAGACAGGGTCTTGCTATGTAGCTCAGGCTGGTCTTGAATGCACTGTGTATCGCAGGCTAGCCTCAGCCTAGCTTCCTGAGTCTGATGCAGTTTAAAGCAGTTTTTCCTTGCCTATTTGTTTTTAAATACCTGCCCCCCATTAGTTAACTAGGTTCAGCCACTCTCGCCAGTTCTCTTCAAGTTCTAGGAAGGAGCAGAGAGGGGACCAGGAGTATCAATGAGATATTTTCTCATTCATGGATTTGCAATTCACATGAATACCATACTTTTTCCCCTCTATAGCTACAATGTGCTTACTAATATATTGGTGCTTAGAAAAAATAGTCTTTTTTATATAGCATGACCAAGGTGAGGAATACTAAACCCTTTACTCCTAGTTGCCAGCAGTATTATAATAGACTACAGGAGTAATTTTACCTGATGGTGGCCAAACAAAGAGGCTCAGAACTCAAGAGTGCAGGGCTACAGGCAGAACTAACAACAGCAGTAACAAGCGGGGCTGCAGTTTACTGCCCTGAGAGTCTATCATTTCACTTAATCCTACAGTAATACACCCATGAGGTGGGACTTTTTCTTCCATCTTATAAGTGAACTGACCAAGGCAAAGGGGTTGCATTGCTTTGGCCAACGTTCTAGACCTCGTTCTGCCTCCTGCTGGAGCCTGAGGGGTCCGAGAGTCTGTTGCTCTCCAGAGAGGGGGGCGCCGGTCTGCTCAGCACCACCAGTGGTGTATGCCAAGCAGGGGGATCTAACCTATATGTTTCCAGGGTGTCTGGGCCTGGCAGGGGAAACAGGGTTGGGGATCTCCCAGAGAGTGGGGAGGGTGGCTGGTGCTGGGTTTGCAGGACCTGGGGAAGAAGGAGTCTCTGTAGGGGGGCACTCAGGGAAGACCCCTGAACCCTGAGCCAGAGAGGTTAGGGAGTAGTGTATAGAAGGCAGAGGGCTCTTCTGAAAAGAAAAGACGGCCATGATTTAAGGAAAGTAGGAAAGAGTGGGGTGGGGGGAGATAATGAATGGGAGGAAGGAAAAGCAAGAAAGGATAGGGAAAAAGGCAGAAACCTAGCCCGAAACTTGTACTCTGGAGCAACAACAGGCAGATGGTCCTGTTTTCATTCCATTTGACACCCATGTGGAGGGGGCTAGGGACAAGCCTCAGAGGGGCAGGAGTACAGGGCGGCTGGAGGATGGAAGCCCGGTGGCAGGGCCTGTCTGCAGGACCCTTTGTAACTTCCCAGGGCTTTTGGTCCAGGGCACTGGGCAAATAGAAAACACCAAAGGCTGGAACACCATCTGTAATAGAGCATCACCTACTTCACCCCAGTCCCATGGCCACAGCTTCCCTCACCCTAGGTCACAGTGGAAACGGGAGTCTCCCTCACACAGTGCATATATCTGGGAACTGGCAGGACGTGTGAGCCACCTCCCAGTGACCTTTTCACAGAAGCACTGTGGCCCCGAACTGAGCAATGAGGGAGTCAGAGGACAGCCACTCACTCAGGGTCACAGGGCCACAGCGCTCCAGCCAAGACAAACCCATATCTCTAAGTGTGTCAGGCTGCAGCTGCTGTGCTGGACAAGGCCATGTTTCCTGGCTTGTCAGCTGCCTTTCTTCCTGCAGCCACTTCTGAGCATGAGCATAGACTTTGGGACTCAGAGGGTGTGGGTGACACCTACCTGGACCAGCAGCTCCAGTCTCCTGTCATCCAGGAGGTGCACCTGGCAGTGTCTGCCTTCTGTCATCTGTGGGGACAAGATAGCAAGGGTGGGTCAGAGCTGGTGCTGGTCACACACCTATAAATTTGATTTATCATTCATTTTGTATGGGATGTGCTCAGCCTGCAGTGGCTTCAGCTGAGACCATCAACACGCTTGGCTGGAAGCAGAATTTTTTGCCATACAGTCTTGCCATGCAGTTCAGGCTGGCCTTGAACCCACTATCCAGCCTAGGCTGGCCTTAGCTCACAGTGATCCTCTTGCCTCACTCAGCCTTCCAGATTTTGGGGTTACAGGTGTACTCTAACATGCCCTGCTAGAAGCAGATTTCTTTTTTCTTTACAAAAGTAGGAACATTTATTGGAGAAAAGTAATAGGAAAGAGTAATAGCTCCTGAGAGGCAGGAGGGTCTCTCATGAGCTGCTTCTCCCTGCTTTTTTTTGTTTGTTTGTTTATTTGAGACAGAGTCTTGTACATAATGTTGGCTACCCTAGAACTCACTTATGTAGCACAGGCTGGCCTCAGAATAGAAGCAGATTTCTTACACATTAACTTGGGTTTAAAAGAAGAAAAGATGAAAGGAAAAGATCATGCTATATTTTGAAAACATAATGCCCACTCAGTACACCACAGGAGAAAACACACATAAAATTATACCATGACAAGTAGGCCTCCTTCCCCAAAGAAAGTTCCATGTTTCTTCTTGGGTCAGTGTTCTATTCTCCAAATGACAGTATCTTGAATTGTGGGTATGCTTACATAAATGTGATGCATGAATAATTACAAGAAGAAAAACACCACACAAAACTTAAAATAGTCATAATGCTGAGAAAGTTTGTCCTTTTTTAGTGCATCCTCTGCCATGCTGATTAACCTTGCAAACTACATGGGGTTAAGAGAGCTCTTGGAGAAGAGCCTGGCTCGTGAGGGCTGCCGTGTCATCAGCAGGTTGGCCCAGTGAGTTCACACCTGGGAAGGCCCTTTGGAGGTGGGGCCTTGAGTAGGAAAGGGAAAGGATGGAACCTTTGGAAGTTGTAGGAACCAAACCTGGCGATTTACATTATCTCATTAAAGCTCCATTAAAAAAAAAAGACAGGAAAATATTCCCACTCTACAGATTAGTAAATTAAGGTGCAAATTTTAGTATTATCTATTCAAAGTTACCTGGAAAAGAAAAACATCAAGTCGTATTTGAATAAGGGAGCTGGAGGTATTGTTCAGTGCTGAAAGATTTGTGTTCGGCCCTGAGATGAATTCCGAGAACCACAAGAAAGAAAGAAGCCACCCTTTTACCATGTATGGTGGCTCACACCTGGAATCCCAGCACTTGGGAGGCTGAGGCAGGAGTATCGGCATGAGTTCAAGGCCAGTCTGGGCTACACAGTGAGTTTAAGGCCAGGCTGAATTACACAATGAGATCTTATTTCAAACTCTCCCCCCACCCAAACAAGCCACCCTTTCTTCTAGTTGTGTATATTATAGGAGGAAAAAAGAGGGAAATAAATGTGTTGGTTTATATCATTCTACTTCTTTTGTTAAACAACCCACAAAAGTTATCTTCAGTGCATACCGTACAGAAAAATATTATAAAATGATGCTCACTGAATTTAAAAATATAAGTCCATTAAATACATTGTCATCATTTAAGCTACTCTGTTGTCCCATAATCCAAGTAAATTTATTTCTTGACTTCAACAGTCATCTTTTTTGGCCTTTCTCTTTTCTTTTGGACCTCCTCCAAGCAATCAATATTCCTTTTGCCAAAAATGTTATTATAGCCTATTAAACAATAAATGCCTTTATTGAGGCATCTAACCATCTCATTACAAAGGCAATGGTAAACATGTTTTTACAACTTGATCTATCCTTTGGCCTCAGCTGATTGGACCAAGAATAGACTCCTGACTCACGCTGTCCAATCAAATTCCCTGAATTTCAGCCAGGGAATCTGGACTTGAGTCTGTTGGGCTGAAAGCCCAATTACTATGGGGAATCCTTTGTGTGCTGTATGTGGAGAAAATGCTGCAGAAACAATGAGAGAGAGAGAGAGAGAGAGAGAGAGAGAGAGAGAGAGAGAGAGAGAGAGAGAGAGAGAGAGAGAGAGAGAGAGAGAGAGAAAGCTAAAGAGCTGCTGTCAGGTGTCCTAATGTCTTCCTAGTCACTTCCCATTCTTGCTACTAGCCTGGCCAAATTCTTGTCTTTGAGTTCAATGAAACAGCCTGAATTCCTACAATGATCCACTTGTTTCTTACTCACTCTAACCTGAGCTGGATTCCACTCTTTAAAAAAATTATTTATTTATTTGGCACAGGGTCTCACTACACAGCTCAGACTCATAGTGATCCTCCTGTCTCAGCCTCCCCAGTGCTGGGATTATGGGCATGTGCCACCACACCCAGTCTCAGTGGCAGGCCCAGCATGCCTGGGGGTGGGGCTGGTGCAACATGTGGTTCTGGGGATCGAACCCCAACCCCTAAGCAGGAGCTTAGTCCACTGAGCTATTTTGCCAGCTCTTGGATTCCACTTTTTGCAAGCAATGGCATCTTCATAAGACACCATAGGATTCTAAACCAAAACTAGAGCAAAAGCCTTCCAAGGAAAGGCCCAAATGGTGTCACTAGTGGGGGAGAGCTGTCTACTTGTGGTTATTAATTGGGCTAGGAAGGACAACACAGATAACAGGACAGGCTGACACCTGGGAAGGACTGTGAACTAACATCTGCCCAAAGCATGAGATACAGAGCAGAAAGGGCCCCTGCAAAGGACAGACGACCCATGTACCCACCACAGTTCAGTATTCACTGTGCTCATCCTGTGTGAGGATGGTTCTCTGAGAGGTTAGGAAGATTTGATCATCACTAGCTAGAAAGCCCTAATGTCACACATGTAAATCATAGGTCAAAAGTGTTAGATGAATTTTGTTCATCAAAAGTGCTTATGAATAAATTATCGTTGATAATATGAGAAATCAGGAAATGTCACCTAATAAAAGAGTTTCTTTTTTGTTTCCCCCTTCAGGGCCTTTGCATTGAGCTACATTCCCAGCCCTTTTTATTTATTTTTTTAATTTTGAGACAGGATCTGGCAAAATCACTACATTGCCCAGGCTAGGCTCCAACATGCTCTCCTCCTGCCTCAGCTTCTCACAGTGCTGGGACTATGGATGTGGACCACCATACCTGACTGGAGAGCTTCTTCTGATTAATGGCAAGATCTGGAAACACTGGGCTTGATTTCCTCTACAGTATGAAAAAGCAGCTCCCTCTTTAGACCAGGCGCCAAGGCTCTGGTTCACCCAAGTGTATTACCTGCCTGGATTTGAGAATGTGGTTGTCTGCGTGAGCTAACTGACTCAGTATGTTCCTGTGGTACCAGATGAGAGACACAACACTCACCTCAGGGGCACGGCTGTGCTGCAGACCAAGGGCATGGCACTTGGTGCTGCTAACCTACAGACCACTGTGAGCACCAGGAAGCTGAGGCCTGAGTGTTGACGGGAGGTGCACAAGGGTTCTAAGGCAGCCAAGCTCCAGCTCAACATCATATTTTATCTCATTAGTTATGTTATCTTTCAGAAGGTACTTCACCATAGGAAGTGTCTAAGTACTCAGGAGGCAAAGGCAGGAGTACAGTGAGCTCAAAGTCAGTCTGGGCAATTTACCAAGGTGTTGTCTCAACATAAAAAATAAAAGGACTGCAAGATGGCTCAGTGGTAGAGGGCCTGCCTACCATGCACAGGGTATTGGTTTAGCCCATCAGAACTGCCCCCCTGCCGAAAAAGTCTTAACAGCATTCAATGATATACTAGGAATGAAATAAATCAGTTCTGAGGTCCCAGTTTGTTTAGAAGTTGACAGATGGTTAAACTCTTCTGAAATCTGTACATGCTCACAGTTTTTTTAAAAAGCTTTTAAATGAGAAGGGAAGATGATCCCTAACACATTCTTTATTTATTTAATCTATTTATTTTTTGAGACAGGGTCTTGGCTTGGTTCAAGGCTGGCCTGGAACTCACTATGTAGCCCAGGCTGGCCTGGAACTCATGGCTATCCTCCTGTCTTGGCCTCCAACTGCTGGGATTAAGGGGGTGGGCCACCACGCCCAGCTTCACAACCCACTTTAAAGAAGACACAAGTGACAGTGAAAAATCCATTAACAAACACGTGGCAGAAAGATTCCACAGATTGAGTGGAGGGGAATGATGAGGAGGGACCCGGCTCCTCTCTGCCTTCTGTGTCTCTGGTACTGGCAAGGGCATTTTAATAAGACAAGTTATGTCACTTCCAGGCATTTTCTAATATCTAGGTATGGAGCTCAGCCCTCTCACACTTAGTTTTCAGGTGTTCTCTCAAGGTAAGGATTCTCTTTCCTCAAATATTATGGGATAAACTATAAACTGACATAGGTGATAAATAACAGGATTCATCAATGGCAGAGCCAAACACCAACCCAAGCCAGGCGTGGTGGCTCATGCCTATAATCCCAGCACTCAGGAGACTGAAGCAGGAGAATCGCCATGGGTTTGAGGACAGTCCGGGCTACATAAACAAGTTCAAGGCTAGCCTGCATTACGTAGTGATACCCTGCCCCAACAAAATGAACTCCAACCCAAAGCCCCAGGTCATAACCATGCAGCGGTATACTTGGTACCGTACATGACACACAGTGACAGATGGTGGGAAAGCCTTCCCATGTGGCCCATTTCCACGAGCAGGCAGGAAAGGGAAAATGAAGTATCATCAAGCAGGCACAAAATTCACTTCACTTCCAAAGAAAAACAACATTAGTAGAAATAGAATTGTGGAGCTTGGAAAGAATCCTAGATAGCATTTATTTAAGGGCTACTCATCTGAGATATGGAGAAACTTAGAAGCAGGTACAATTCAAGCCCCACAGCTGGTCAACACCAGCCCTGGGACAGGAACTCAACCAGGGCCACAGCACAAAAGACTTGCATGTGTGCCCACCATCCTCAGCTAATAAATATCATCTTATTCAAATAAACTTTTTTTGAACAGGTCACTTTT